GTTTGAACATTTCCGCAAGGACCTGCTGCACACGCTTATGACGTTCTTGGAACGACAATCAGATTTGTTCCACGTCAAGGAGCCGGGTGGAGATTTAGAACTGTCAGTGTGTGAGTCTTCCAATTTTATAACCTTTCGTTGCGAATGTGTTGTTGGTTGGAATTTTCATTCCCACAGACTTTCAAAATTTTGAGGCCGAACAATTTGAGTCGGATATTTCCTAGAAATTACTGTAGTTGTTTTGTTTTTTTGGAATCAAAAACGGTGTAGACGACTGTATTCCTCATGGGTTCGATTTGTTCAGTTTGCCTCGGATTTTTGTGGATGGGTGTCTCAGGAGAGCGACGGCGATGCCAAAGGTTTTAAGGAGGGTGAGGCAACTCCTGCCAAGATTTGATGTTCTCCACTTCCGTCAAAATTTTACCCTTTCAATATCAATCATGACGCCAGAGTTTTATGCCGGAAATTTTAACAGAGGTAAATCAGATGTACAAACCGAGATGGCCAACCCTATCGGTGGAATTTTTGTTTGTCATGAAGTTATCTGAGCGTTTCGTCCATATTTAGCACTTTTTCCCCTTCATTTCGGGTTGTGGTGTGCCAGGCGGAAAAAATGCTGCGGAAACAGTTCAGTGAATTTCAGGCTTGGGCCAAATTTACTTCAGAATGCTCCTACAAATGTGTTTTCTCATTTGTGCAGGCTAGCAGACTGCTCAATTGGTTTGTGACAGCAGTCAAGGCAGATATGGTGACAAAACATTATATGCTTTTATGTGGGTATCAAGGTGATGCAAGCCGTTGCAAACTATAATCAAAACATAGAGACTCTTCAGGGCAGACTCATATTCTTCCAAGAGTGTCACCATGGGTAGGGAGATATTTGCCTTGTTTTGTCTCATGGGAAACACGAATTGCACATCCTGGCTATTTTGTGAGGCTCGATACTTGGCGCGAGCACAGCCTCATTTGCTTGCCCACGTTCCGCAACATTTAGGCCTGCAGCCAGTGAAACTAGCTGAGGGAAATTTGTGTTGGTTTGCTGCAGGAGAATTTCCAGTTTTTGATTTGGTATGCTGCTCATTTTGTCCTGAAGTGTTTCTCTCGTTCCTGTCGTGCCGCAAAAAACATTGGCTCCTTCTGTGGAGCACAAAGAAATTTATTGTTGACCTGGGGCTTGCTGGGACCCAAAGGTGGCTATGCTGCGGCAGCTGCAAGCAGCTCTGGAAAGCGGAGTGAGGTGGGTAGTATGGGCTGCAGACATAAGAATTTGCAGATTTCTACTTAGCTTTTTTTTGAATGCCGATTGCATACACACACTGGGTCGTTGTCTTTTTTAATCTTTTACACCGAGCGCAGGTGCCCATGGGCATCAATGCATCTCCGTTGCTGGGCAGAGCATGGACAGTTTGATCATGGGACATCAGAATAGGAGACATAACTCACAAGAGTAGTAAAAGTTGAGACGTAGGGACCAGTTAGTGTTGTGCTATGTTGTGCTTCAGGCTGGAAGGTGGAGATCCAGGGCAGTGGGTAACTGGTCTGCATGATGGCACATCATGGCATGATACTATGTCAGTATCTAACTTTATGATATGCATGTTTCCAGTATTTCCAGCTTCCCAAAAACTTTCCCCGGAAGCACATGGACTTGCCAGTGGCTCGAATGGGTGCAGATTGTCCACAATTCGTAGGAGAGACATCAAGAATTTCCTGGTTTTACTCTGGAGTAAGGGTTTGGCTTTAGTGATACCCTCAGGCAATCCAGCAATCTTTCAAACCAAGAGCCGTGCAAGATCATTTGCATGAGGAGAGCCAGAAGAATAAGGGCGAGGGCTGGGTGTGGAATCAGACGCCCCAGGAGAGCAAGAGCAGAAAGTCATGCAGTTTTCGCTTGACTGTACCAGGGTCCTCCAAAATGCAAAATGTGGTGCACAGGAAGGATTATGTTCTGTTCAAGTGATTGCAGACACCAATTCCTTCCACAGACACGGAGGAAATAAACGTTGAGATTGCTGTGGAGCCGTGCAGGGCCTCAGATCTCAAGGCGAGTCAAGGGTTGAGATGACAGGTGAAGAGCAAACTACAAAATATATCAACATATGGCAAAAAAAAATCCAGGGAATTATTTTCACTAAGACAATCATGTGCTTGGACAGGTAGCTATTGCTGCAAAGTCACTGTCAATTAAGCTCAAGGGAAACACTCTTCTGGAGGCCGGGCATGATCAACATATTTGCTTCTGCGCATGTTCAACAGGGAACGTTGCAATGTGAAACATTTTGACCTCCTTGTGCCGGCACTGCAGGGGAAGCTTTTTGACAAGATCAATAGTGAGGAGTCTACCTGGCACCTGGACAATGGCAAACAGGCGGGTTTGTGCTGTTTGTGATCATGCTGCGGCCCTTTGATCCAGTTTCTTCCAGTTTCTTTCCAGGTGGTTTTGAACCTGGAGAAGATTAGAGTCCCAGCCGCATTGATTCTGCCTCTACAAGCCTCAGAGAATACCTAGTTAGATGGGAACAGAAGCAGAGCACAGTCCGTGGTGTCCATACACAGCTGCCGCTGCATTCATCAGTGGTTCTACCGCAGAAACCAAATCGCTTACTGTAAATCTTTGAGCCTTTGACAGATTTCAGTGCATGTCTGAGAAGTCTTGAATACATGCTTCAATGCCTTA